GGGGGGAGAGAGAGAGAGAGAGAGAGGTGTTTTTCTTTTTCTTTGTAATTATTTTAAATGTATTAATTGCAAAGTTACCATTTTGCCCTTAATGAATTTGGTCAATTTTGACTGTTTAGGTTGACTAACGGTCAAATGGATGGAAACCATCCATTTGGACCTCCACCGCATATTTATTAAAGGTTTGGGACCTCCGCTGGCACAAATCAAAGGTTAGGATAAAATGCTCAAAAATTTGAAAGGTTTGGGACCTTTGCTGCAATTATCCCTAAGAAAAATGCCATTAATGAGAATACCACGCGGTAAGAGTGGCCCTAACATCCAGCGCGCCAAACTCTCCTCATCTATAAATTTACTTCCTTAACATTCGCTTCTACGCTCATCCCTATCACAACACAATATACCACCATTATCACCACCCGAGCCGCCGCCACCACCCTCCGGAGCCAACTCCACTCTCCCTCACCCTTCTCGCCTGGGAGTTTTAATTCAGATTAATTAATATCTATGGATGTTCGTCGGAGACAAGCCAAGATACCCCAGTCGGTCAAAATTGCCGCCGGCGAAACACCCATGAAACCTCACAACCCCAAAGCCTCCGATGCCCTTCCTCTACCTCTTTATCTCACCAACGGGCTCTTCTTCACCATGTTTTTCTCCGTCATGTACTTCCTCCTCATACGGTGGCGTGAAAAGATCCGTAACTCCACTCCTCTCCACGTTGTTACGTTGTCCGAATTAGCCGCCTTGGTTTCTCTATTGGCCTCTATCATTTACCTCTTAGGATTTTTCGGCATAGACTTTGTTCAGTCCGTCATTTACGGATCAAACGAGGATGCATGGGATGTGGAAGAGGAAGAGGAAGAAAATGAGAAATTCATTATCGAGGAAGACAGTCGCATGGGGGCATCCCCCGCCACTACTCTCGGTTGTGCCGTTCCGCTTGTCCCTATGATCCCACAGCAACCCACCAAGGTTCCGGTGACTGAAAAACCTGGACCTCTAATCACACCACTATCGACAGAGGAGGATGAACAGATTGTAAACTCTGTAGTGGAAGGGAAGGTTCCATCATACTCTTTGGAATCAAAGCTTGGAGACTGCAAAAGGGCAGCTTCAATTCGTAGAGAGGCATTGCAGAGAATTACTGGGAAATCATTGGAGGGACTGCCTCTTGAGGGATTCGACTACGAGTCGATTCTCGGGCAGTGCTGTGAGATGCCAGTGGGGTACGTGCAGATTCCGGTGGGGATAGCTGGGCCTTTATTGCTTAACGGTACGGAGTTCATGGTGCCAATGGCCACGACGGAGGGCTGTTTGGTGGCTAGCACCAATAGGGGCTGCAAGGCCATCTATGCATCAGGCGGCGCCACCGGCACTTTGTTGAAAGATGGGATGACTAGAGCTCCGGTGGTGAGGTTCGAAACTGCCAAGAGGGCCGCCGAGTTGAAGTTGTACTTGGAGAATCAGGGGAATTATGAGACTCTCTCTGCTGTCTTCAACAAGTGAGTATTTTCTTCCACTCCATCTTGTTTATATATTAATTACACAATTCTTCAAAGTTTACTATTAATTATGTGTTTAATCAGTAGAGATATCCTTCCCTTAGTAATTTTACCTAGGCAACCAATACACACTCTCTCTTGTTCGATTGGAATAATCAATCATTGGACGATGCTTATATTTTCGCTCATGTTCGGGCTCCATTTTTTCAAATCTAATTTTCGTCTACATAATCTCCTATAAAATAATGGTACATTTTTCTTATTTTTAATCACACATTTCTCTAAAAATCACTGATCCAAAATATATTTTCTCCCAAAATCTCATTATAATGGAGCCTAAATAATGGTTCATGTTATTGAATACCATGAGAAAATTTGAACTATGTTAGGCTCATAGCCTATTAATTTCTTGTTTATACCATAGAAATTTTCTTTTTCTTGTCTTTTTCCTTCTTAATTTAAATTTTTGGTTAGAGACTTTTGATATTCGGTAGCTGTGTTCAAAAAAGCTTCAACTAAGAGTGAACCGCGAACGCAACTTCTCACCTTAGCAATAAGATTAAAATTAAGCTGTCAACTGTCAAGTTTACCTTTTAATGTGCGATTAGGCGTGCCTAGGCGCTCTTTATTAATATATTTTTTTAAAAGATAATTCTTGTTGTATTCAAAAGTTTGAAGAGGTCCAAAGCTGATTGCTTCAAACTTAGGGCGTGTTTAGTAGAGATTAAAATTGAAAAATTAGTCGTTATTGTTGACTTTTATTAGACGAGTGAGATCCAATAACGACCATATTTTCAATTAAAATTGGATTTTAATCCTGAGCAAACATGCTCTTAAACAGGGCCAGGAGTTTTACGCTAGGAGAATTCTTGTTGTACATTACCTTGTACATCAAGGTGTCCATAATGGACACCCGACACCCTCTCATTGGAGGGAGTGCCGATCCCACCAACCCTCCCTCCAATGAAAGAGCGTCAAGTGTTTATTATGTAGACCCTTATATTAGTGGTGATGTACCACTAGCATTACCCTTTTTTAAAAGCCTTTTATCTGATTTAGTTTCAAGTTATTCTATTTATTTATTATTATTTTTTTTTTGAAAATTGTATAATTCACTAATTGTATGAATTATTAAGTAAATATAATATTTATAATTTCAGATGTTTAATACGCATTATTTTAATTATTAAAAAAAATTAGAACGATTAAATTTTTTACATAATATTAAAAATAAAGTCTTTTATGTCTAGGCTCGTAAAGCTTGAACCTTGAGCTCCACGTCTAGCTACACTTTACGTTTTTAGAACTTTCTTGGTAATACCCATTTTTTATTCAGTGGTCAGTAAATTTCAAAATAATTTTTAAAATTCCAAAAAAGAACAGTGATAAGAATTTGCTTTCTATTCTTACTATCTGACTTCGACTTGTATTTGACGCTAACATGTATCCATTATTTCGGCGGGGTTGGTGAGATTCACACTGAAATAATGTCAACAGTTCATACACGGGTCATTGTAAATGCTTTTCAAAAAGGGTTATGTTCACACTACTAAAGGTCTTTTCGCGATTTTAATATCGTCAAGTACTGTGTGCCACTTTTATATTGTCGAGTACGGCGTATCAGACGGCATGTTGTTAGAATTAATGTGTATGTTTGATTGGGGCATGTGCAGATCAAGCAGATTTGCTAAGCTACAACGGATTCAATGTGCAATAGCAGGGAAGAACCTGTACATTAGATTTAACTGCAGCACTGGTGATGCAATGGGGATGAACATGGTATCCAAGGGAGTGCAAAATGTTCTTGATTATCTTGGGAATGATTTTCCGGATATGGATGTTATTGGCATATCTGGTATACACCTTAACTATTTACTTCCTGTACTTTTTAACTGTTTAATACGCGTAGGATGTACAAGTCGACCGCGTGGTGTGGTACCCTTCACGAGCTTTAAAGTCGATGGATTTTTCCTTTTACTATTAATTTTATGATTGCTGGTATATGTTCACACGTTCGCTTATCGAAGTACTCGAATTTTCTCAGGAAACTTTTGCTCGGACAAAAAACCAGCAGCAGTGAACTGGATTGAAGGGCGTGGCAAGTCTGTCGTTTGCGAGGCAATTATAAAGGAAGAGATTGTAACGAAGGTTTTGAAGACCAATGTTGCTGCATTAGTAGAGCTCAATATGCTTAAAAACCTTACTGGTTCAGCAATTGCTGGAGCCCTTGGTGGGTTCAATGCACATGCTAGCAACATTGTATCTGCAGTATACATAGCAACCGGCCAGGATCCAGCACAAAACATCGAGAGCTCTCACTGCATCACGATGATGGAGGCGGTAAATAATGGAAAAGACCTTCATATTTCAGTCACCATGCCTTCCATTGAGGTACATTTACACAATTTAATCTCATCATATTGATTAGGCCAAAATGTCAGAAAACAGATACAATATAGTCTGGATTTTGGGTCCACACTAATTTTTGCATTATTGTGCAATATAATTCAGGTGGGCACAGTTGGAGGTGGAACTCAACTTTCATCTCAATCAGCTTGCTTGAACTTATTAGGAGTAAAGGGTGCAAGCAAAGAGTCAGCAGGGGCAAACGCAAGGCTATTGGCAACAGTTGTAGCTGGTTCTGTTCTTGCTGGGGAACTGTCCTTAATGTCTGCTATTGCAGCTGGACAACTTGTAAAGAGTCACATGAAATACAACAGATCAAGCAAGGATATTACCAAGATTTCCTCCTAAGGGAAGACCCACAATTAGATGTAGAACAATGTATTTTTCCATAAATCAAACATAAATTGTGTAAAATAATGCATGTCGATTAAACTCTAGATCGAAAGTGTTGAAATTAACGAATAAAAAACATGGCGAAGGAGGGGCAGAACATAGGAGAAGTGATGACAAGGAACAAGTTGTCCATATACCATTTCCTAGCAGCACCATAAACATTGGTATATTTTGGGTGCCCCCATATTTTCTGTAAAACCTTTACATTTGTTACGTGTTATTAGTTTGTTCCCTTTGTATCTATATACGTATCATCTATTCAATCAGAATGATATGTATAAGTTTGTTCAAAACACCAATGTATTTGTGTTCCAAACTCAAATTATTATTCTGAAAGTCTGATTGTATGGCATCAAAGTTTCTATAACAGACTACATTGAATAGTTTCCCTGATATTTGTGTTCCAAATCCGAAAATGTCTTCAATCTCACGATTATCTCTCGGCTAAGCCTCTCGTAGTGACCTAAGCTAACAAAGGAAGAAATATATATTCAGTACAAGTGCACTAAAACCTGTGTTGCACGGAGACTTTAACTAGGGCAGTGTGTTCGTGTTCGACACGTGTTATATACCGATACTCTTCGGACACTCTACCATGACCATTTTTCTTTCTTTATCAGAAATATTATGTATTTTTAACTCATGGTCATTATTAAATAAAAAATATGTACTCATATTTAAAAAAATTTTGACAAGAAAAATTAACAAGTGTAAAACTAAATTTACTATACAAATGAATTTTTAAAAAAATTTAATCAATGTGTTGGCAACGTATTATATCAATGCTTTTTTAAAAAAATTGCATGTCATACATATAAAGCTTTCAGTTCCTCTGTAGACTTCTAATTTATTCAGTGTTGCATAACTTTATTGGTCTGCTTTTTCAAGATGAAAATAGAAGGAAGGGGAATGATTAATAGAGTTGAGAGATTTTTCAACAGAATTAATTTAATCAATGATCACATAACTTTATTAAAGATTACTATTTGCTCATCTAAATTTAAAAGGACCGTGCTATGTGTACATAGCATGGTACATAATGTGAAAGGGGTGAGGTCCGCGCTGTACACACCTATAGATATTGCTATGTACACATAGCAATATCCAATTTAAAAAGTTACTTTTTACTTACTGAATTTTGCTGTATATTACTAATTACTCGCTGAAGTTTAAAATGTTACTCGTTACTTACCAAAATTTGAACAAAGTTACCCATAAGTCACTCGTATCATTTCCATCACTGTTATCTATAGCAAAATTCAGTGAGCAACGAGTAACATTTTAAAAATCGATAAACAAGTAGTAACATATAGTAAAGTTCAGTGACTATTAATTAAATTATCTCTTTTCAAACACAACTATATTTATTGGTTCATTTTTTATTTTCATGTTGATCTATGCAATTATTTTCCCGTCTTAGTACATGCAGCATCTCCTTGTCGGACCACTTTAAGTGAAAGCACGATATTTAAACAATACTCTTTAAAACCCGGCGTTAAATAGGCATCTTTTGAAAATATAATGGCTCCCAATGAAATAAAAATATGGGCGACAAATGAGCGAGCCACTCATCCTGTCAAGCTCGTTTTGATACGAGCAATGGGCCAAACTGAGCACCATTTTATTTTCACGACCCGTCTCATGGCTCGTCGGCCACTGCCCACATATTGGAAACCAACGGTCACATTAAAATGGTCATAATTATGACCTTGAAAACTGCCATTTTTAAAGATAAGAAAACCGTCTCCCCAGCGTGGTGGAGTTTTCTCCCTCCCTCCGTGGAGTTTTCTCCCTCCCTCCGTGGAGTTTTCTCCCCTTCCTCCGGTGAAGGATCGTTCTTGGTCTCTCCTTTCTCTGGGCGTTCGTCGGGGAGGTGGGAGCTTA